GCGCTCGCTGTAAATGCCAAGTAGCTCGGGGGCGTTTTCGCGTATTTGCCATCGCGCGCGGGTCTTCCCCCGTCGCGGGCCGTTGGCCGGCTGGGCCGCGCCCCTATGTGGGCCGTGCTGTGGTCTGCTGGCGCGCGCGGGCGGGAAGGTGGAGTGGGCCGAGCCAGCGCGAGTGGCCCGAAGGAGTAGGATTCGGTTTTCGTAATTTCCAGTAAATAAGAAATGTTTATTTATTTTAGTTATGAATTGAACTTCGATAAATCATAGTAAATTGCGTAGTTGTCCAAAAATAGTGAGACTAGTTGGGTTAGGTTCACAAAAATACCATCTACTGGATAGTTCAGTTGGATTACAGTTAGCTGTGGCGAGTATTGGGTGATAAATTCAAAACTAGAGAACGAATATTAGGTAGGTGAATAATTGTAGAAATATTTGTGGGTAATTGGTGATAGCTATAGACACAAAAATTTATAGTAGACTCATTAGGTTATTACGTACTTGTTGTAAATTTTGTGGTCTTAGAATGGGTTGTTAAATAGAGTAGATATTACCCTTGTTTATCTGTATATAGCATAAATTAGCGTTAGGAGTAAAAATACCGGTAGTGGCTATAATAATGATGAATGCTGTACTTTATGCTTGTTGTCGATAGCAATAGATAAATTAGCACCGTGGTCGATAGCAATAGCTTAGTAGTTAAATCAATGTACTGTTATTGTAAAAGCTGCTGATGTTATATTCTTAAGCATTGCATCATCATTTCACGTAGAGCACGAACTGGTAGATTTCACGCCCGTCGGCGAGTCGGAGTACGACGAGGTGATCGAGGAGTACGAGGAGGAGATCTTCGCACAGGAGGAAGCCTAGGAGCCTATTGGTGCTGACCCAGTGCCTGCCCAAGACAAGTCCCGGTGCATAACCCCTATTTTTAATGATCACTGAATATATATATGTGATGTGCATTTAAGTTACAGGTATTTTATGAAAACTACCTGCATAAACATACCTACCCATGAGTCCTACTAGTACAGGTCGAGTAGCTGCTATGCTTAGGATATCGGTAGCGTGAGTAACCTGCCGTTGCTCGCACATAGGTGATAAAATATGATCACTCGTGATAAAATGATGGAAAGGTAAATGGTGACCGGGCAGGGATATGGTTTGGGTATTGGTGGGTGTAAAAGGTTGTGTCCTGTGGCCAACAGGGCATAGCTCGATTACACTTTTTCCCTGTCTGTGTCGATTAAGGACCGGTCGTTGTATAAGGTATCGTGGGCAAGTCACAGATTTATTATCCCGAGCGCATACTTGGGTATGGGCGCAGGGAAGACTTGTTGCTCTCTTGTCGCGGATCTAGCTCTTTCCGGACTGACTGATGGGAAGAGGAGGTGGTGGAGGTCCTTGCACCACACTAAGTCCGGGACTCAGGAGTAGGGGCTCGGAGTCCAAGTTTGGATGGGGACCTGGACACCCGGGACAGGAGAGTGATGGGTTAGTCCTGCTTGTGCCTAGGGTACAAGCGGGGCGTGTGTTTTCGGAGTACCTAGCTGGGCACATTGATTCGCGAATCGCCAGGCGATCCGGTACGGCTTGTTTCGTGTTTAGCACCGTAGTAAGAACTAAAAGTTGAAAGGAAAAGAAATGGAACTGATTGCTCAACTTTTGCTTGAAAGTAGAATAGGTGCTTATATAGACTGGTTAGATGATAACTTAATACGGCTGATAATAAGAATACATAAATAAGGACTCACTATTAGTATTGCTTTCTGCTAAAGAAAACCAACAAACCCTAAAGCCTATCATATTCCTTGGAGTCGGGAAATTATTTCCATCAGGTAAGTCTTGCGAGTACATTGTGTACTCAGGGTTTATTTACCCTTGTTGCAGGTGATGCTTGAAGAGTACCTTTGTGTGGAGGATCCTTCTGGTGGGCTCAGACGGAATCCTCGGCCCTTATCGCTAGATGTTATTTTTAAATTCCGCTGTTATCATTCCGCACTCTGGTATTTGGTATTGTAATAATAGACTTTTTAAGAAACTCTGTTGTATGAATGGACTTGTATTGTAACTCGTTCTCATTATTGAATCCTTGGAAAAATGTGGATCTTTCGGGTTCTCTCTCGGGGTGTGCCCGACGGATACCGCTCGCGGTAGCTTGCTTTCGGGGTGCTTAGTGTCTGGTGGAAGACGAGCGCCTCCGTAAGTATGTTATTTCAGACGGTTCTACCACACGCTTCAAGTTCTGCAAGGGCACATCCCGTGCGCTCACCTCCCGGCTACCGACGACGAGCTCCCCACGCGGCAGCTCCTCATCCGCGGCTGCGGGCTCCTACTGCGCTGACGCCGATGCCGCACGCAGTGCTGAGTTCGAGCTGCCGCTGGAGGTCCGGTCGCGGCCTCGACGCCCGCCCTCCTCGCACGGCTGCTCGACGCCATGGAGCTCTAGCTACGGCCGCTGGACGCCGTGGAGGTCCGGTCGTGGCCTCGACGCCCGCCCTTCCCACGCAGCTGCTCGACGCCATGGAGCTCCGGCTATAGCCGCTCAACGCCTGCCTCCCCGTGCGTGGCCGCTCGACGCCGTGGAGGTCCGGCCGCCTCTCTTGGCCTCCACCTCGGGCAGCCACCGCCGCCCTCAGTCTGCTGCCGTGGTCAGCCCCGCAGCAAAGCTCTGCCTTGGCTCATCGGAGGCCGCCACCAACTTCCGCTCTGCTTTGCCGAGCCGCACGGGCCACGGAGCCCTACGCGACGACGCCGCAGGAACGTCGTGCCCGCTCATAGCCGCCCTCGCCTGCCGCGCCGAGACGGATGCCGCCTTGGGCCCCTGCGAGCTGCTGCTGCTCGGCGTCGATTGGAGCACTCATCGTCGTAGCCGCCGCCGCCCAGAACCAGTCCCCGGCGCTGCTCATCGCCGACGAGCACATTTTCTTTCCTCAGCAGCCTCACCAGCTCGCCGCGCGCCCGCACGCGGCTGTCCGTGCTCGTCGGTCAGGCTGCGGCCGCAGCTTCGCGCTTGCGCTGGCCGCGTGCTGGCTGGATCTGGGCAGCCAGAGCTTGGGCACCTCGCGGGCCCAGGAGGGGGGCCGTCATCCATCACCGTCCAGCGCACCGATGAAGACGACCGGTGAAGCAGAGGAGGCTAGGGTCCATGGCGTCGTGCATGCGTCCGCGCGCATGCCAGTGATGGCAGAGGGGCCTGGGGCTCTACGTGGCCGCCCAACTGCTCGGCTCCGCGTTCGTCCTTCCCTCTCTACCCTCGCTCGCGGCAGCGTGCGAGGAACGAGGCCGGGGCACGCTCACGGTGGCGGCCAACGCAGCGACGACGTCTTGTCGGAGCTCTAGAGCGCGGCCGTCCTGTCGCAGCTACGGCGCGTGGGGCTCGATGTGGGGGCACGGCAGGCCATGGCTGCCTCTCCGGGTCGCGCCTCGGGCGGCCATGGCGGCCTCTCCGGGCGCGGCCTCTTCTGCTCGTCCAGCCCCAACACGCAACGAGGCGGCGCAAGATGCGAGCATGGCCAGCCCGGCGCAGCACCAGGCGGTCCCTCCCGCGGGCAGCACCTCCAGCGACGGCGAGCAGCCCGGCGCCATCCCGCATCGGATCTGCGCGCAGGAGAACAGTGAGTGCAGGAGGCTGTGGCGAGTTCGTCTGGAGATGAGTGTATCGGGGGCCTCGTCGGGAAGGGTGGACGGCAAGTGCGGCCGCGCATCCAAATCGGCCCTGCGCTCTCTCTCTCTCTCTCTCTCTCTCTCCTTCCCTCTCTGCTCTCGCTCGTTGACTGCTCGGCAGTCGCGAAGGGATGAGGTATGGGCCGAAACCGCGGTCGCGGCGGGTTGACTAGGCCGAAACCACGGTGGAATGGACGCGAGGGCCAATTTTAAACGGTTTTGAGAGTTAAGGGACTGTGGTTGTCTGGTTTTGAAGTTTGAGGGCTAGAAACAAACTGCAGTCATAGTTGGAGCGGCAAAAATGGACTTTTTCAAAAAAAAAAAGAGAGGAAGCGCTCAAGTCGCCATCCGCTGGGTGCCGGCCCGTCGTCCATGCGTGACCGATTTGTGCGCCTCTTGCAAGGTTTGCTTGGCTTGGCTTCTCTACCTGCTCGCTGGCGGCACCGCAGCATAGCTGTACAGGCACCACGGCGGCCGCGCTACGGCAGGGCGCAGGCTACAGCTGCCTGTCACAATCCCTCAGGTTCTCTAATCCAATTTTCAGATCCAAAGTCCAAACATTTATAGTTCAAATTTGAAAACATGTATCTATTTAATTAGATTGAAAATTAAAAGTACATTTATTTACTAATGTAAAAATTATATATGGTTCACAATGAAGAGAACCAAAACTTTACTACCTTATTTTCCTTGTGTTGATATCATACAACTAGATACTTTTTTTCTTTTATCTTAGCTATATTCTTCAATGTGAGGTGTAAGCAAAAGTATTCTGGAGAAAGGGAAAAGATGGACAAGGAAAGGAAGGAGAAAGAAAGAGGGGAATATTCTAGGGGCCGCTTTTTTATTCATATTCCTACTTTTGGAAAAGCTGCATCTGTTCCGATTGCATGCACGCAAAAATAATTAAGCATACAATTAGAGTTTATAAATAGGAAGTTGATTACTACCAGGTGGCTCGCAAAAATCACAATTAACACAACCAGCGCGTGTCATATCAAGCCGACTAACAAATAAAGGGAAGCTTTATTATAGAACTTTTGGAAGACTGAGCTAAGCAGAATTATCGGCAATGTAATGCCATTTCCCCAACCATTATTCTCTTAACATATCATTAACAGTTTCCAACAAAATAGACCGGTCGAATAGCAGACCAACAGAATGGCGGCACCAAACTGAAAGCTACTACCTCACTAGTTGTGTGAAGTTCAGTTACCACCATTCACGTGACATTTCAGAGGCCCCAATGCTACTGTAATAGGATAAAGGGTATGCACCGAAGTCTGCCAATGTTACTGTAACACGAGCAAGGGTTTGCACCCTAAAGTCAGCAAAATCTAATCTGTGTACTTCATGTCAGACACCCTGAAGCCAGGCATCTCAAACGAAGTGGCGAACTTCTCGACCTCTGCCCTCAGGTTCTCTATGTCCTTGTTTTCCACCAAGCCCTTTTTGAAGTCCCTGAGAATCTTGCCATGCTCCTCCTGGATGCTCAAGCAGATGGTCACAGCTTGGTGAAGGTACTCGGCAATCTGCACAAAGTCCTTCTCAACCAAACCCCTTGAGGTCATAGCAGGTGTGCCTGGGAATGAATAGTTTTCAGAAATGAAGTAAAGTTGTTGGTTTGCTGTTTTAACATCAATAGATCAGTGCAGATTAGCAGAAAAAACTGCCCTATTAATTGTCATGATCCTGACTTGGAAAATATACTCTCTAACAGTAGTAACCCCAAAATCAACTTTACAAAAAAAACCATTCATGATTACTTCAGCATGTTGAATTTCTATCTTCCTGGACAGCAAGTAAAGAACTGCCTAATCTTCTGGTTGTAAAACATGAATGAAGTTCTTACCCTTTAAACTTTCTCTGGGTGAAAAGAGAATGCGGGCCTTCCAAAAGCATGATTAGTTTTGACCGCTAGTATTATTATTGCCCTTCATGATTAAATAGACCAAAACCACTAATGGTTTTACTTCAAGCCATGACAAGTTCTAGAGGTTTTATGAAGATTTAAAGTGTTGTGTGCTTAAACTGGAAAATTAATCAGTCCAACAGAAAAAGGCAAGGAATTAAAATTATTGTATGTAGACCAAGAGAATCTAAAATCACTCATTTTAGACTTAAAAGAGGTCCATAATAACAGAAATCATCACTGAAGGGAAGCAGATGCAGATACCCTACAAGATTTTATATAACATATACAACACTACTCATCTCACACCGTGCTGTACTCCAGGATACCACAGTATATGACAAGTAAAACAAGATTAAATTAATTGACCCATAACCTCTTTCCTTCTCAGTGACCCCTAACAGTAACAGAGTAAAAAAACATGAGATAAAAAAGAGCAACAGAATCCTATTCATGCATTATACATCACACGATAAATCTGTTGGTAAGAAAGAGATACTGACCAATGCGAACACCGCCAGGTGTCATTGCACTGATGTCACCAAAGACAGCATTTTTGTTCAGTGTAATGTTGCATAGGTCACATAGCAATTCAACTTTATTACCTGCAATTTCGATAAACCAATTTTATAGCAAGTTTGTACAGCCTGCTAAGGGAAAGCCAGAACATGCCATCGAATCCTGCTATGCTCTTCGCAAAGAGAGAGAGAGAGAGAGAGAGAAGAATCCTGCTATGCATACCAGTCAAGCCAAGAGGACGGAGATCCCAGAGAACAAGGTGGTTCTCTGTTCCATCAGTAACCAACTTGTAGCCCTTACTCATCAAATGGTTACCAAGGGCAACTGTGTTTGCCTTGACCTGCTGGATATAGGCCTTGAATCCAGGTGACATGGCCTGTTTCAAGGCTACAGCTAGAGCAGCAATCTGGTGATTGTGAGGGCCCCCCTGGAGTGATGGGAACACAGCAAAGTTGATCTTGTCCTCGTAGTCATACAGAGCACCCTCAGGCTGGCCCTTTTTTGGAGGCTTTGGGCCCTTCCTGTAGAAAATCATACCAGACCTTGGTCCTCGAAGACTCTTGTGGGTCGTAGTGGTAACCACATCGGAGTACTCAAAAGGATTCAAAGCCTCCTACAGAAGAGTGAAGGAATTAACATGGATGGTAAAGTAAAAGAAGATACAGAATATGGGAGTTCTGCAGGAATTCTGTGGAAATTACAAAGTTTAATTTCAAAATTTCAAATTTCTGCATCCATAAGTACCCTAGTCGAATAATAGCATCATGTCATCACTTTGTTTGGATTACATGCATTTGTGTGCTCCATTTGTATGTTCATAAGTTAATGATTAGCTAATGATGCAATACAATTACACTCTATAAAATACTCTACATCAGTGCCTGTAAGAGATTTTGAGATAATTGGACTTCCGAATAGTCAACAAATTTGACAAACTTGGTCACGCCAACTCAACCCAAACCAACCCAAATGGTTCTGCCTTTCTTTCATGGAGGTATCTTTGTTCCATAGGAAAAACTGTCATTTTTCGCCTTCTGCTCCGACAAAACTTTTTTATGTGTGCGCGAACTCTATTTGGCTAAATGAGTGACACCAGCTGATGCCACGCAATCAGAATGATCCCTCCCCTCACTTACCATCATACAACAGAAAAGATGCAGCTTCTGTATCAACTACCCAAGGTAATCGCAATTCACAATAGAAAGTAAACATTTATATTCATAAACAACCGGCAAATGAAACCCATATACGATTTAAATGCACAGGAACAAGGGCAATTTGTTACCTGCGCAGCGACAAGACCACTGATATGAGCCATGTCGCAGAGCAACATGGCCCCGCACTTGTCTGCGATGGCCCTGAGCCTTGCATAATCCCACTCCCGAGGGTACGCACTACCGCCGCAGATGATAAGCTTGGGGCGGAAATCCATGGCCTTCTCCTCCAGCCTGTCGTAGTCGACGTAGCCGGTGTCGGAGCTCACCTTATACGGCAGGCTCTGGAAGTAGATGGAGGTTGCAGAAATCTTCTTGCCGCCCGCCGTGTAGTACCCGTGGGTGAGGTGGCCCCCGGAGGGCAGGTCGAGCCCCATGAGCCTGTCGTGCGGCTGGAGCAGCCCCGTGTAGGCCGCGAAGTTGGCGGGGGAGCCCGAGTAGGGCTGCACGTTGACGCCCCATCGGTCCGGGTCGAGGTGGAACGCGGCGAGCGCGCGGGCCCGGCAGAGCTCCTCGACCTCGTCGATGACCTCGTTGCCGCCGTAGTAGCGCGCCCCCGGCATGCCCTCCGAGTACTTGTTGGTGAGCGGGGAGCCCAGCGCCTCCATGACCGCGAGCGAGGTGAAGTTCTCCGACGCGATGAGCTCGATGCCGGAGCGCTGCCGCCGCTTCTCGCGCTCGATTAGGTCGTACACCTCCGGGTCGACCTCGGCCAGCGGCCTCAGCCCCCACTCCTCCACGGCGTCCATGGCTGCCGCGGCCGTGGCCGCGGGGACGGCCGTAGTGGAGACCGCGGCGGCGGCGGCGGAGAGGAGCGCGGGCCGGGCGGCGCGGAGGAGCGGGGCGTGGAGAAGGGAGCAAGAGGGTTTAGCGTAGGCATGCTTGAAGAGAGCCCTGGAGACGGTGGTCGCGGAGGTTGCTGCAGCGGCGGCGGCAGGGGGGCTGGCGAGGTGGTGCGAGGCCATTGCGGGAACCGCACGCACGCGAGGTGTTCGGTGGATGGCCTTGCCGCCACGAATGGCGGCGCTACGGAGCAGAGCAGAGGAGGTGACGGCTGTGGGAAACTGGGCTGGGCTGGGCCCCGGCCAGGATGGGGCGAGCCGCATTTTAAGGGCTGGTGTCGTGGTCACTCGCGCGCCGCTAGCTTTTCGGCCCCGTTGATTCCGCGGGCGAATAATAACTGTTATATATTTATTTATTATACATATATTTATTTATATATACCCGTATATTGCAACAGAGATTATCATTACGATTTGCAGCTTAAAAAATTTATTCAACAACCAAATCATCTATTTCCATACATACATTTTAAAATCAATGTTACTATTGCAAAACGTGCTAGTAATACCTAATTGCGTAAGACAGAGAGAAAAAAAAATCGTGTGTTTATTTAGAGCTGAACCAGGCGGCGTGTTTCTCGCTGGTAGAGACGTAGAGGAAACGAGAAACCCTAGCTTTTTTTTTTCTTATCTCGAACCTATTCCTCTCCTTTTTCTTTGCGGGCTTCGTGGCGAGTATTTTGCGATTTACTGAAGGTGCGGTCCTACCATTCATTCAAAGAATCGCCCCCCGCCCGTCCCCTAGATTTGAGCGTGTACAGTGGTGTTTAAATCAACCTGCTAATATCAAATGAGAGTATTCGGATAGTAATAATAAAATAAATTATACAAATCCTCAGTAATCCGCGAGACGAATTTATTAAGACTAATTAATCCGTCATTAGCATATGTTTACTGTAGCACCACATTGTCAAATTATGGACTAATTAGGCTTACAAAATTCGTCTCGCAAATTAGTCGCAATCTGTGTAATTAGTTATTTTTTTAGTCTATATTTAATACTCCATGCATGTGTTAAATATCCGATGTGATAGGGACTAAACTTTAAGGTAGGAAACTAAACAATGATATAATTTGCCTAGCCTGTCTTTACTAACCAGGACTCTAGTTAGATTTATATACCAACGCAAGACCCATCAGAAAGACCAAAATCTAAAATGGATCTCCAACAGAATATCTATAGCATCTAATATAGTACCTATATGGAAGACCCATTTTGAGTGTCAGGAGAGGTATGAGCTAAATCTGAGTATCCTCTCTTATGGAGGCTCATTTGCAGAAATGGTTCTCTTTTGGGTCTTGTTGTTGGAGAAGACAAAAAAATTAGTATTGAACCATTTGCCTGTAGCTATCCAAACGTAGAATGGGTCTTGTATTTTGGGTAAAGGTTGTTGAAGACAGTCTAATATAGTTAGTTGACTAAATTTTTAATCCCTATATAAGTTTTTTTAGCAACATCCTTATATAAGTATAAACTAGCAAATATACCCGTACGTTACAATGGGATCCAATACGTAGTGAGTTGTAGCACGGGTCATAAGTTTAGGTTAATAATTAAATTAACTTAGTGGTAAAACTATTTATTTCTTAAGGAGTCAAAGATTAAAATGTACGTGATCTCTTATTTATTGTTTGTTTTTACTCTTATTATATTTATTAGAACACGAAAAAACCAAGTGGATAAAACAATGAAAACAAGATCAGAAAAGTCGAGCCAGTGTCAAAAACATCTCCACAAGAAAAAAAAATCTAAGCAGTCCGGACCAAAAAATAGGTGGAGATAAATTTTACCTCTTTATTATTAGGTATAGATATAGATATAGATTAGAACATGAAAAAACCAGGTCGAGAAAACAATGAAAACAAATTCAGAAAAGTCGAGCTAGTGTCAAAAACATCTACGAGAAAAAAATCTGAGCATACTCGAAGCCAAGTTATCCACGAAAAAAAATCAGAACATATTCGGAGCAAAGTGAAAAACGTCCGACTGAACGTAAAGCAATACGTACTCAGAGCAAGTAAAAACGGACAAACCAGAAAAAAGTGAAAAAAACAGAAAAGAAACAAAACAAAGAAATTCTACCCTTCTTTTCTCTTTATTAAATTTGTATTCTTATATTTTTGCATTTGGATTAAGATCCCTATTTCGGTTACTTGAAGTTAGAGAGATCTAATTGGATTAAGATTTCTACTTGTCCATATTATTATATTTTTCCTATTTGAATTAAGATTTTTATTCACCCCAAATCGGAGAGATCTAATTGGATTAGAATTCCTAGTTATATAAAGAAAAGGACTATAGGCAGTTTTTCCATATCCACAAAGTTAGTTAAGGGATGGCCAGATAAAAAAAATAGGTGAAGAAAAATTTTGCCTCTTTATTATTAGGTATATAGATAGATACATTAATTGTTACTGATAAGTTTATTAGCCTACTGATGCTACTGATAGACCTATTTAGATCACGTGGTCTAAAGTTTAATGGCTAAAGTTGATGACTAAAACTTTAGACCACTTTAACTCACTTGTGTGATCTAAAGTTTTTGTGAGGCGGTCTAAACTTCAGTCAACACTTTAGACCTTTTGTTTGGAGCCTTTGAGAATTAAAATGATGTAAAGTTCACTTTAGACCATATAGGATCTAAACATGGTTTATTTGTTAGTTTTAGTTTATTTGTTTGATCATAGTTCTAGTGCAATTAGACATACTCTGAATTGAGGCGGCCTGCACAGATAGGGGGTTTTAAAAAAAGGAAATCAGAGACTGTGTTTTTGGTGGTGTTCAACGAGCTGCTGCACTTGCTAACATAGTTGTTATATCTCTCCTTCCGCTCCAGCACCTACTACATTCGTGGCTAATAGTGTCGTGCCATACCGTGTTATTATTGGGCTGCCGGATTGACCATCTATATTCCCATTTGCTCGCTTGTCCGCCTCCATCACACTCCCATCTCCGGTCTCTCCGCTCGACCACCCCTCCGATTCCCAGTCTGCTCGCTCGGCCTTCCCTTTGACCTCCGCATCTCCCTCCACTTTTTATCTTCACTATCCACCTAGTTTGGCTACTCTGTGAGGTGATGTCGCCTCCCTGTGGCCCCACCCTCCCCCACCCTACCTCACAGGCGTGACCATGGTGAGCAAGGAGCATGTAGCCTAGCAAACGACGGGTAGGTGGCAAAGCAACAAGATCTACGTAGACTTCTTTTGATTTTGTGATTGAATTTTTGGCAATTTGATGTGTTCGATTGATTTGTGCAAATGGAAGATGCAAACCCGTGATTTTTGTCATTTTTTTCTTTTTCTTTGCCACGATGTGATATTGGGCTGACATGGCCCATTAGGGTCATCAGGCTTACCCATTCGGCACGGCACGATTAATTGCACTTAGTGTCGTGCCTAGGCTTTAGATTGAGCCCATGAGCATCACGACATGGCATTTATGCCTATCAGACCTGTGCCCAAATGAGTCATGCTTAAATGGGCCTTTGTTGTGCCTGACTGTCTATACAACACAAGCATTTTTGTACAGTAATGCTCAGGGGCGGGCGTCCGTCCGATCGGACGCCGCCTTCCCGGGCCTGCGCACTACCGGCCCAACAAGCCTGCCTCTTCCTCTCTACCTTTCCCCATTTCTCCCTCTCAGAATGGAAATATCTCCCAACTCGCTCACCCATCGCGCACTTCACAACGCCGTGCGGCTGTCCACGTGCCTGCCCCACTCCGCATTCATTGCCTTGGCCATCTCCCCGCGCGCCCCCTATCCTGCGTTGCTCGCTCCTCGCTCCTGCCCATCGCGCGCCCCACCCGTGCCTCTCGCTCTTTGCTCTCGCATTTCCACCCACGCCGTCGGGCGCGCCGCCCGCCTCTGCTGGTGCTGGTGGTGTCGTCGCGTGCCTCAAGTCATCGGTCCCGGCCGAGCCAAGGGCACCCACGAGTGCGGCCCCGTGCTGGTGGTGCTCGCTCGTCGCCGGCTCCAACCCCGAGGCCGGAATGAACCGGCCCTGGCCTCTCCTCTCCTATATTGCAAATGTATATTTCAAGTGTTTCAGAGATATGTTGCTAGTGTGTCATATGGATGTTGCAAAAGTAGATCGGGATGTTTGCATATGTTGCAAGCGTTTGTTCAAAATATTTCATCTATTTCAGACATATGTTGAAAACGCTTTTGATCTGGATGTTGCGTATGTTTCACACATATGTTGCAAGGATATGTTCCAAATGTTTCAGTTGTTTCTTATGTTGCAGTAAGTGTTTTCATGTTACAAGTTGCAAGTGTTTTATCTAGATATGTTGCGTATATTTCATACATGTGTTGCAAGTGTATGTTTCAAATGTTTTATCTATTTCAGACGTATGTTGCATTGAAGTGTTCCATGTTGCAAGTGTTTCGTGTTTCAGAGGTATGTTCAGAGAGTCATAGGGGCACGGCCTAGGCGCCGAGGGAAGGGGTGAGGCGAGCCACGGGCCGGCAGATGGGGCGCGCAGCGCGCCTGGGGTCCTACGTACGGGGCGTGCTTGTCCTCATCCTGGCTCCCGTGTCCTGCCTGCGTGGAGAGAGAGGAGGGGGTCAAAGGGAAGGAGCGGCGGGCGCTGGACGGGGCAAGGCGGATGGGGACGGACGCACATGTGCAGCAGCGGCAGGCGCGGGCTGGCGACCGAAGCCGAGGTTACGCGATGGCGTTTCTGATGGGCCGTTCTGCTAGGCCGTTCGACATAATTCTCTCCCATCGGACATCCGGGCGCTAGTAATTCCCATTTTCATAAGAAAGGAACAACTTGTCTTTCAAACCAAACCTGGGGAAGGTATCAATAACCAGTGCCATCATTATCTAAAAAAACCAGTGCCATTACATGAAACAGTTTTGTGGCGTTACATGAAACACACAGAAACAGCCTTATTGTGGTCCAGTACACGGTACAACTGGCAAACTGGTGGCATGGCATGACTCATATACAATAGCTTCTGGACGTTCACACGACGTCGTACAAGAGCTTCTCGAAGTCCGGCAGGTACTCGGGCTCCAGAGCGACGAGCACGGTGATTCCGCTCCCCTTGTCACTACCACGGGGCAGCAGGAAGACCATGCCGCCGAAGATCCTCACCACCGGCGTCACGAGCCGGGGCATGCCCCAGCCGAAGTCAGCGTCATACAGCGGCATCCCCAGCCAGCTGATCACAGCCACGTCTGATTCCGCCGGCGCCGTTTTCCCCGCGACGAACTTCACCGTCGGCTTGCTGTTCACCTCATGGAACACTGCGACATCACTGTCGGCCTTATCACTGTCGGATTTGTGAGAACCGGCAGTGATGTGCGCTTCCGAGCTTGAAAACGAGAGAATAATTGAGGCTAGGCTAAAACCGACATTGAAGGACCACATCACTGTCGGTCTGTCCATTAAATTACCAAACCGGCACTGATCCATACTTCCGGACCCAAAAAAATTTATCCATCCCAGTTAACTCCGCACGCCTCCCAACTCCCAAACCCGACAGACTATCTCCTCCTCCCCAGATCTCCCCACGCCTCCACACTTTCCTCTCCTCCGCTGCAGCCATGAGCAGTAGCTGGCCGGCGTGCGGTCCGGTAGCTCCTTGGCTGGAGGCCTAGAGTGCATGCCCTGGAGTCGAAGGTCCCATCCGCAGCGCAAGCCATGACGACATGGATAAAGACGCCGCAAACGCCTCCAAGGTGAGTCGCCTTGGCCTATCCTCGTCCTCACTTTTTATTCATTTTCTCCGTCCGTAGATTGCGCCTTCCTGATGGCCTGCCTCTCTGCGCGGCTCACTGCACGTGGTTTCTAGGTGCTGAAGGGGGCTCAAGGGGGCGCTACATTTGTGGTGTGGAGAGGAGCTGCAGTGGACCTGCGCCGGACCTGCAGAGGAGCTGTGCCGGACCTGCAGTGGAACTGCGGTCTACCCCTCCTGCTGTCTGCGGCGACTTGGCCTGCCCGGTGGCATCCCCAATCTCCCCCTCCTGGCTTCCCCTCCCCTTCCTCTATGTTGTGTGAATCAATTTATAGATGAGTTATTTTGTTTGTGTTGAACCCTACTCCTTTGTCTGTGATGTACGAATCGATTTGTGGATATGTTGATTAGTGATGTGTTGAACCCTTCTCATTCGTTTGCGATACACGAATCGATTTATGGATGAGTTTTTCTGATGTGTTGAATCCGTCCTTTGTCTGTGATGTATGAATTTTTTTCTTGGATGAAATGCTTGATGTAGTGGCAGCGGTAGCCAGCGAGCATGGTGGCGGCAGCGGCAGTAACGAGCATGCTCTCCTGCCAACATGCTTGTTGGATTGCTTTTTTTTTTCTAAACCTTATCACTGTCGGGTGAAGTACCGGCAACAGCAGCCAGCGAGCATCACTGTCGGTATGCTACTGTCGGTTCAAAATCCGAATCCGACAGTGAAGAGGGATTTTGAACCGATGGTGATGTCAAAAACTGGAGTAGTGGTAGTCCACCATGGCGCGTGCGTACGCGTCGTCCACGCTGTTCACCGCGTCCCTGACCTTCCCCACCACGGACCCAGCCGGCGAGCTGTCGTCGTCGACCACGTCCCCGGCCCGGGCCGTGGTGAACACCCGCAGCACGGCGTTGCCGAAGAAGCTGTGCGGGAGCGGCGGGCGCAGCCGCCGGCGCACGTTCACCGCCATGCCGAGGCGGGTGTCGGAGGCCGGTACCAGCCGCCGAGCGACGCACATGCAGCGCCAGATGTGTGCGGTAGCTGCGGGTGACGAAAGGGCGGAGCCGGTCAGTGAAGGCGACCGTGTCCGGTGCGGTAGCCGGCACCGGCGGTGAACGCGCGCGGAGGGAGGTCCGGTCGTGGAACGGCGCCTCTGGCCCGGCAGCCTCCGCTGCATCCAGGCCTCGGGCTAGCCTGGACCATGTCTGCATGAAGTGGAATATGCCAGTGGCATCTACGATTGCATGGTGGAAGCATGAGGTCAGCACCACGCCGCCACACTTGAGCAAGGTCACCTGCACGGACCCGTCATCAGATGTACACATACATACGGTTTTAATTTACACCAGCAAACATATATACATGTGCGTTAAAATGGGATGTTCAATCTGTTGTATGGTTACCTCAACGATTTGCAATTTGGAGATTTATTTAGCGATCACGAAATCAGATCTGTACTGTGTTTAGACGCTCCCTCTTAACTTTTTCAGGTACGGGAGTGTATAGAAATTTATCAATAATCATGCCATGTGTTGCAATTTATTTTAGGCACTATGTCTGAATAATGTTTTAATTTCACGCACTACGGGATACAGTCGTTTCGCCGAGTGCCAAGAGCACTCGGCAATGACCCAAAAACACTCGGCAATTGCTTTGCCGAGTGTAACACTCGGCATACAACACACGGCATCTTTTTGTCAGCAAACAGGAAAAGCACTCGACAAAATGAAAATACGAAAAAAAACCCAAAAATAATAGTAAATTTTTTTCCGGGGAGGCCGCCACCAGCCAGCACCCGACCGTCTTCATCGAAGTCGGTGCATTTTTTGCGCTAAATTCACGGCTAACACGGCCGACGGGATTTGAACTCACGACCTCTCCCTCGCGTGTCTGCTGCTCTGTCACTGCACTACACTGTCACTTGTGTCTAGATTCCGTTATCTATCCTCATATATTATACTAAACCGAGAGTAAATTGCTTATTTGAGGCCCTAAACGAATTCAAATAAAAAAGTGGTCAACTACAAAGTTTCATAACTCTTCGAGATCTACAATTTTTATTTAGGAAGTTTTTCCATCCGAAGTCATTTGAAAAATTCAAATTTCAAATTTGAGAGATTCAAACGTAGTTTTGCATGATAAGATGATTTCAAATTAAAAAATTGTCAACTACATAGTTTCATAACTTTTGGAGATCTACAATTTTTATTTAGAAAGTTTTTCCATCCGAGGTCTTTTAAAAAATTCAAATTTTAAAATTTTCAAAGTCAAACGTCGTTTTTGCATGACAAGATGATTTCAAATCAAAATGTTGCCAACTACAAAATTTCATAACTTCTCAAGATCTACAAAGTTTATTTTGGTCATTTGTTCATCCGACATAGTGGTAGTAACATTGTTTACAAATCTTATATATCTCTCTTCTACTTTCGTGAAACTAATATGAGAGATATGAGAGATGTAGATTTTATGAACAACGTTATTGTCGCTTTGTCAAATGAAGAAATGACCAAAATAAACTTTGTAGATATTGAGAAGTTATACAACTTTGTAGTTGAAAATTTTTTCATTTGAATTCATTTAGGGCCTCAAAAATTGCTTTGAAAAACTGATTTGCCGAGGACAAAAAAATGCACACGGCAAAATACATCTTTGCCGAGTGCCAGAAAAAGGCACTCGGCAAAGACGCATTTTGCCGTGTGCCGAAAAATAGCACTCGGCAAAATACATATTTACCGAGTGACAGAAAAAAGGCACTCGGCAAAGACGCATTTTGTCGAGTGTTTTTTTTTTGCCGAGTGTATTTTATTTGGCACTCGGCAAAGACCGTCTTTGCCGAGTGCCAGATAAAATACACTCGGCAAAGTACCGGTTTCCGGTAGTGACGTTTTTTTAAATAAAAATTTTCAACAACATCAAATGTGGACATGGTATATAGCAAAGTTGTAGTTCTCAGTACAATCAAGAACTTTGTAGTTAAAAAGTTTTCTATTTGAAGTAATATAGAATGCTAAATACGTTTTTGTGTTCATAGATTTAAAAATTCAAGATTTAGAATTTCTAAACAATCTTAAATGTTCAGGTAGTTAATATCAAAGTTATAGTGGCTAACCTAATTTATATATGTTTGTTGTTGATAAGTTGATTTGAAGTTGTTTAGTGTCTCAAATATTTTGTTTCAAATTCATATATTTTGACAATCAATTTTTTAAAATTTTCAAACAACCTCGGATGGAAACACATCCTATATCAAAGTCGTAGTGCTTGACAAGATTTAAAACATCCTAGCTATATATTCATAAATGAGAGTGGTGGAGTGGTAAGGAGTTATTATTGCTTTGGAGTAGGTAGTAGGTCCAAGTCATAAGACACTCCTAATTTTATTGATATTTTGAATTTTCTGGAAACACTCTGCTCTAACCTCTACAATTCAAGCACATGAGAGAGCAATGAGCCATGAAAACATTTCGTATTCTGATTTGTTTTGGCATCAAACTTTATACTATGCTTAGACATGCTAGGATAATTCGTATGACCATGGGAAAGAATTGGGTTCAATGGGCATGCTATGCTCGATCGATTTCATCACTTGTCTATCTAAAATTTAGAATGAACTTGCATGTGCTTGTGTCGTTAATTTGAAAAAAGTCTACTTAATCTTTTTTTAAGACGACGCCTTTCGACACGTATTTTATTAAGCAGAAAGAGAGTTTTAAGCGAAACAACAAACTCAGTAATACTATGATTACCAAGGCCAACACACACGCACCCACCGGACAACACAGGGTACTACATGATTGAACCAAATTTAAAAACTCCACGGGACTGCGCTCAGCGTCCAGACAGAAGTACGCCGAGCTGCCTGTACCCAGCCATTCGCCGGTCCTCCGCGACGAGGTAAATGTCCACGGCGAGGTCCCTCGCTGTACGTGTACTGCCATCGAAGGTCCTCGCATTCCTTTGTTTCCAGAGCATCCAACCGATCAAGAACATGATTGAGTCAAACCCGCGCTTGAAGTGCTTGTCGACGCGCTTCCTATTGGACAGCCACCACTTCATGAACGGCTGCGGGCGAACATCCACATTAGGCAAGTGAAGCCAGTCCATCCAGGTCGCTCAGACCTCGCGGCTGTACGCACAACCTAGCAAGATATGATCAATTATCTCTGGCTCCTGATCGAATCAATCTTTGTGTATCTCTTAAACGATGCTTGCGTTGCTGGCTTGCTGCTGGCCTCATGGGCTCTGAAAGGAGAGGGCTGAATGCAGGCTACAGCCCTAGAGAAGAGGCATACGTTGGCATACGTTGGTGAAGATATTCATAAGTCCGCTTAATTATTCAACTTATTATGGTCTGTTTAAACACACAGATATATTAGCTACTAGTTACTAGTTGGAGCAAAAAAAAAAACTATAGCCTAAATTAACCATGGTTTGCTAGCTTGGCTAACAACTAGTTGAAGACTTGGATAATTAAAAAATTAGTCCACCTATTAGCTCTCCTGCTTAGATGCTAATGTAACGATAAAGCTATACCTCACTCGAGTGATTTGGAGGAATCCATCACTCGAATTTTCTCTTCTCCAAATCTGGCCTCTTCCCCTCTTTATTTTCCAAGTCAGGCATGCATATAAGGGGTTTGGAGGAGGTAGACAGGCCAGGCAGTGGGGACGGTGACCGGGTGGTTCGAGGCCCTAGCGGCGGTGGAGGCGGCCGGGCCAGGTCGGGGCGGGGGAGTCGAGGCCATTCGATGGAGTTGGAGAAGAAAGTGGCGGCAAGAGGGGCCGGGGGGATGAAGAGGTAGGCCGCCGCGAGCGTGGTAGGGTCTCGTCGGAGCTCCACGATCACGGCTTCGAGACCCTACCACGCCGCGGCGGGGCGGCAGGCGCTAGGTGGTGGCGGGCGTCGAGAGGAGGAAGATGAACAGTGACCATCGGGAGAAGAAAAATTTGAGTGACACCTCACTCAGTTGACATATAGACAAATCCTAATTTAATCTAAAAATTAGCTAGCTAATAATTAGCTATGGCATCAAACATGCCCTTAATAGAGAGACGCGCACACCTGAAACAAGGCGACCATACAAGGGAGCTCCTCGGGTGGTAAGGCTGGCACGAACATCCTACCTCCGGCGACGGCTGGTAGTCCTCGAAGAACTCCGCGCCAGTCACATCTGCACGGACAACAACAAACTGCACGCCCTCCTCGCCGTTGCAGTCGACATGCCGCCGCCGGCCATCCTCCCCGAGGCTGAGCCGCCCGGCCAGAGGGTAGAACGGCACCAGCGCCCTGGCCAGCGCCGCCCTGAGCCGCTCCGGGTCGAAGAAACCCTCGCACGCGCCTCCGCCGCCGCCCTGCTGCGCCTCTGGGCCTGCAGCTGCAGCTGATGCGGCAGGGTAGTAGTTGATGACCCTCGTGTAGATGTGGGGAAATTTCAGGTCTAGGTTGGACAGCCACAGCCATTGTCGCCGCATCTCCTCGCTCGGCGCCACCATCGTCGTCTCCACCACCTCCTTCTTCATTGTTTTTCGATCTCCCTGCTGGCAAGTGCTCGATCAATGGACAAATAGAGTTGCTACGTACCTTGCTACCCTCGTCCGCTCATGTTCTTTTCTTTTTTATCAATTCATTCATATGCATGGGTTCATCAGAAAGACGAGAAGAATGCCCTGCAGCTGCCAGAGCCTGCTGTGTGGGTACGTATATATCTCTGACATCCGGTGCAGTGCATGCATGTGCGCATATATTATCAATAAATAAATGATTGGTAGGAAGTGGTGCACGTCTGGTCTAGGTCTACAGGTTATTATTATATTATATATTTTGCTGTCCCGGGTGTTTATGATGGACAGGGATATATTGGCACGACCTAATTAAGGAGATAGGGACGACGTAATTGAAGGCACGGTTGGTGTGCTCCCGGCCTGGTGGCGACGTAATTTAGGAGAGTAATAGCACGCTGTAGGTGCGCTAAATGTTGAGGTGAATGAAAGAGAAGGGAAGAGAGAAGAAAAACGTGTTATATAAGTCGGCTTATGCACAAAAATTAAGAAAATTTATTAGAGATGAAAGTGAGACCCTGTATTTAATAGCGAAGAGCTAAGGACGTCCACAACAACAGCCCAGAAATCGCTAGCTACGTGACCAGGAGAAACAATAAAAAAAAAGAATGTGAGAGTACAGAGCCGCAATGGCAGACTCATGATTTGAGATGTGGGTAGTCCTAGTAAAAAAAAAATCATGTGTAATACTATAAAATTCAAATAAAAAGTTCGGCAAACATAGCTATAAATTAACCAAATTATAATAATACATTTAAAAGGTTGAAACTTACATAAATACTCCCTCCATACTGGTAAAGAAAGTCGTTTATGATATGATTTAGCATACCAATGAGTGATTAGTTAAGGGATATTTTTCCTAGTTTTCCCTTATTAAATAGGGTTGCGGGTATCATCTATCCAACAAATTTTCGTAGCTGGACTAGTAAGCGCGCTGTAGCCCGAGACAGGAGGTCCCCGGTTCGATCCCTCTCAGGCGCGTTATTTTTTTGAAGAGCTCATGGATTTGCGTTGTCTTCGGCCTGGGCTGAGACGAGAGTGACCGTGGGCCGGTTTCTGAAGAGTAGTAATAGAATTTTTGGCAAAATTTGTGGGTAGTCCTGGGCCTACCTGGACTACCCACTGGGTCTGCCACTGTAGAGCCGTGATTGTTTTGAGAGAGATTTCATGGAGAAACGTGCGAGACTAGCTAGGACTCGGTCACTAGCGCGCTACTCCGTCCTTGTTTTGACCAATAGCATTTCATCTAGACTAGCTATTTCAACCCCGTTAGACACGTCTTAACTACTATATGAGTGGGTCGAGAAATAGGCTATAAGGATCTATACAGTCAACAACAGGCTGTATTATTAGCCTTGCTATAAGGGTGATTAGAAATGGATATTTATTATGGGATGCGTGTTGTCCTGTTGGTATGGGGGGCTCATTTAATTTAGACGGGCAGAATTGTGTTTTGGTAGTAACCTGTGGGTTTGGGCGGGTTGGGTTAACATGAAACACGGATCGAGGCGAGTTGGAATAGGTTATATGCATCTTGGCACATATGGCATCGCTCCCAGCCTCTCCGTCTTAGCTTTGGCTTCTTTTTTTGAACCTGTAGCTTGCATTACTCAACTGCTAGCAAATCAGCAGCAACAATTACAAGAACATTACTAGGAGGACAGGTAGATATGATCTCTCCCCCCGGCCCTCAACACACTCAGCACCCAAAGCAGTCATTGCATGGGCAGCTTTATTACAATATATCTACCTCTAAACACACACTCGAATTGTAAGAAATTCAAACGAACTAAAGACTTGAGTTCCTCCGCCAATCCACCTTCAGATCTTGCACAGGAGTCAGCTGAAGTGAGCTCTTGCTGGACAAGTAAGGCGTCGGTCTCCAAGATCAATCTCACAATGCCAAGGTCGAGAGAGCTACTTGAATCCCATGCATGCATGAGATTAGTTCGGCGTGAAATACAATCAAAAGATGATCCACCTTTCCTCTTCTGGTTAGAACAACATCTCCTTCGCTGTCTCGCATGAGAAAACCCCAACTGCCCGAATAGGTTTCAATTGTGAAAGACGCATCACAATTTAGTTTGAGCACCCCCTCCGATGGTTTGTTCCAATGCTTCTGCCAACTTTACTTTCTTTTGTTTTTCCGTCTTCAACAGCTTCGTAATTTCATCAACATATATCCTAATGCTGCTTACCAGCGCTTCCACACTTCTTCTTCCCGCCCCCGCCCGCCACCCCTCCTGATGATATTTCACTTTGACCATAGAAACCATACATGGGTAACCATCTTCTTCAGTCAACTTTCCTCTCTCTTGATTTCATGATGAAGTCAGTCCCTTCCCAAGCAGACGACATACACTACAGGAAAACGCCTCTTTGCCGACTGCTTGCCCCGGTCGGCAAAGGCATAAACCCAGTCGGCAAAGGCTTTGCCGACCGCAAAGCCACGTGGCAGTCGGCAAAGAGCAATCGGCAAAGCCTGGGTCGGCAAAGGCGGATTTGCCGACTGCCACGTGGCACACAGTCGGCAAATCCTTTGCCAAGCGCCACGCCAGCCGATCGGCATAGCCACGTGGCGCCGTCGTACCTGACGGCGAGCTTTTGCCGATCTTTGGTTCCTCGGCGATCGGGCAAAGAATTATTTTTTCAAAAATTGTTTGCCGGTGGCCGCTTGACTTCGGCGATCGGCAAAGAAAGAAATTTTTTTGAAATGTTCTTTGCCGCCATCGCTTTCGGAGTTGCGATCGGCAAAGATTCTTCCTGGTTTTTGCTCGACTTTTGCGATTGTAAGCGATCGGCAAAGCTGGAATTTTTTTTTTGCCGATCGCTTTCGGAGTTGCGATCGGCAAAGATTCTTCTGGTTTTTTTTGCCCGACTTAAGCGATCGGCAAAATTGGAATTTTTTTTTTGCTTTTGTTTTCTATTTTCTCGCATCAAAACCCCGCAAAATCACAAATTATAATCCAATTTCACCAGAAGCACCGGTAGCACCATTTATATCACAATTTCATCACATTTGTCGCCAACATCACCACATATATCACAATAACGCACAACATCACATATATGTCACAATAACAACCACACAAGTGCATTACAACCATCACATGAAGTCCAACACGTCGAACACCACAAGTCGGCGTCCATCACTGAAGTTCAACATAACAAGTCTAGGTCCATAACGAAGAAAAGAAATACATGACAACAACTTCGACGACACGGTGGATACATGATAACAGAATCGACAAGTACCTAGCTCCTCGTCGCCCCGTCCCGGTCTCGTCGTCGCTCCGCCCCAGAGCCCCTGTGGTTTGCCCACGAAAACCCCCTTGGACCAAAGCGAGGCGCTACAGCGTCGCCACCCTCCGCGCGCGGCCGGCGGCCACGAAATCGTCGGAGGAGGGCCACGCGGAGGTGGATACTGTGGATAGGGTGCGGTGGTGGATACGACATCATCGATGGCGGGACCTCCGGGAGAGCGGGTTCGAACCCGCCATTGTACTGCACAAGTTAAACACCAAGTGATGTCATTAGTATCTCTGCAGCATGGGCGCACAAGTTAAAGCAAGAGTCAATATACTCACGGGGTCCCTCCGGGGAGCGGCGGGGCGAGTGCGGGAAAAAACTACGGAGGAGGAGGCGGTGGAGCGAACATTGGAAGAGAGGTGTAGACGCCCAAGGCGTCTGCATGGACTGGAAGAAGCTGGCCATGTTACGCATCCGAGTGTTGTAGTGTCTGCTGCGAGCTTTTCTTTGGTAAGCCATCATTGCGCCATCATCTCTGCGCGTGCAACGTGGCGATCCTCTCCTCCATCTTGGCCTCCATCACGGGCTGCAATATTACATCCGCAGTGTTGATTGTATGTACAAAAGCGAAACGAGTGAACGACGAACGAAAGCGGCACTTACTGTGTGACGCCGCCGCCGCCGGGCGCTACGGGGATGTCATTTGGAGCTCGTGGGCGTGGATCGAAACTGGGTCGGCCAGGAACTGGGACGGGTCGAGGGCGCTGTGGGCCATGTAGTAGCGGCCGTGCTGCTTCCCTGGTCCCAACCTCTGCAGGAGGTCTATGTCCAGGGGCTCGGCGGTGGGGTCGAACGTCTCCCCGTAAGTATTTGGCGAGCCGCGACGGTGTACTCGGTGGCCTTCTCGTGGCGGTGGGGGTTGGTGTACGATCGGGCCCGTCCTCCGGGTTGTAGACGTTGTTCGGATCCATCGCCTTGCCCTTGTGAGAGAGAGGAGGTACGCGGTGTACTCGTTGATTTCTGCCCACTGCGCGCGTCTGCGTCGCATTGAAAACACAAACATGGTTACAAGTATTGACAATTGAGCGCAAGGATTAAGACATGAACGGACGATACCCATCTTGTCGTGAATCGGGGGGGGGCTGATTCCCTTGGTGGTGTGACACCCCTCGCATCTCTGGCTGTGGCGGCCTGACGGCGGTCGGCGCTAAGGCGCAGACGCCTCATCCGTGCGCCACATGCGCACAATCTCCGTCCGGCAGATCCTCGTGGTTTGTCGCACCACGACGGACACACCCGCATGACATCAAGTATTTGACATGCGAGAAGATTAGTGTAATGTTTCTTTGAAGGAATCGAGCGAATGTTGTCATACTTAATTACCTTTCGTATTGCGTTTGGGTGAGGTCGGCCTCCCTCGAGTTCATTCTCTGGCGGATTTGGGGCTTCTTGATGTTCTCTCCAAGCACGTTAAGCGTGGAAGTCGCGGATGGCTTTGTATGCGCGCCTCATGGTACAGGTCCTTGAGGCGATCTTTGTAGACCGCCTCTGCACTCGCGCCGCTGGGCGCTTTACCCTCCTCGCGACGTGAAGAAGTCCCGCTACGCACACATCATGTAGCATTTCCTTTTTGCAAGAAGTCCGACGAATGCGTACTATTTAGCAATGCGGTGCGATGAAAGACTCACCCAAAACTCCCTCTTTATCTTTTT